GAGGCGGGGCGGGGCGGGGCGGGGCGTGCGGACGAGACGCCGACAGCGTTGCAGCCCGCTCCAGCCCTCAGCGGCACGCCGACGAACAACTTTCGATGCTCGCATCGCGTCGCACCGCCAGGGCCAGGTGTGGGGGCAAACATATTTCCCTACGCAAACACCAGCAGACTGATTCCGAGTGGCGGGCCTCTCTGTCTCTCTCGCACTCATGGGGCGTCCCGCAGGGGTGCGAGAGAGGCAGGCCGACTGTTCGGAATCACCCTGCAGTCTGCTGCGGGCCCTCCCCCCCTCTTACCACCCACGCCCCCTTTTTCGCGATCGCCGCGTGTTTATTCCCACGATCACAAAACAACGGCGAGACAAAAATAACAAGGTTCCTCAACAAACGCGGAGCGAAAATGTAACGAGAAACCGAATTAAACCTCCGGTAAACAGGGCGACGGGGAGGCGCGGGCCGAAACAACACAAAAACCAATTCCACGTTCCACGTGACCCAGAAAAGAAGCGCCGGCGCCGGTGGCTGTTGTTTACGTTGTTGACGGTCTCCAACGTGACGCCGGGGAGCGCCGCCGTCGTGCCGCAGTGTGGTGGGCCAAGTGACTGGCGAGGCTGCACCGCACGGCCAGCACGGCGAGCACGGCCAGCACGGCCTGCACGGCCTGCAGACTGATTCCGACAGTCGCCCTGTCTCTCTCGCACTCATGGGGCGTCCCGTGCAGGTGCGAGAGAGACAGAAAAAGGGGCGAAGGGGATCAAGGTGAGTGAAAACATAGGGTTTGGAAAGGAAGGACGAAACAGGAAAGGCAAAATAAGCAAACGAAGCTGGTGAATGCGCGGGTCAAGCATCGACCCATGGGATTGAGAGGATCGACAGGGAATGGCGCCTCACCTCGCCGCCGAAGAGAGGGCGGCCCTTGCAGTGGTCGAGACCGGCGGGACCGGCGGGACGTCCGCATCAACGCGGAGGGGAGGGGCACTGCAAGGCGCCGTGGATGCCGAGCGTCGCCAAGCCGGGCGATTGCAGTGTGCCTGCAACAGAGGAGGCGCCAAGCGCGTCGTCAGAACAGAGTTTGGGCAGAGCTGTAGCGCCCGGCCTCCCTTAAGGGGGCTAGGAGCGGGCACACTGAGAAATAGGGTGCCGGTGTTCTCCTCGGGTGCGTCCGACAGACAATGCGCACGCCGCGGCGATCGGCCGGCGAATCGAGTTTCCAGTGGAGCACCGGACGGTACCGAAACCGGAACCGAAACCGGATGCCGGCCGAGCCGAGCCGAGCCGAGCCGACCGAGCCGAGGGAGAAAGAGGATGCTAATCGGATCATCAGGACGGTTCGGTTGGCCTCACCTGGCAGCGCCTGCCAGCGGGCCAGCGCGCCTGCACTGCACTGCAGCACTGCAGCAAGGGGTAACCATCTCAACATTTTCACGTGCAATCGCCCCTGTAACTAGCCAAAAAGTGCTTCTGCTTTGCGCCCCCCCCTCTGGCTCCGCCACTGCTACATGGCGGGGCAGGCCGTCGCCGACTCGCTGAACCCAATTCCGATGAAACGTCGCGCCGCGGTGCTTTCCCCGCGCACGCGCACACTGTAAAGGCCACGCGGCACGCGCGTCGCAGTTTTCGGCCCGGGGCACGCTTGGGCGCCCGCCAGCCGGCAGGCAGCGGGGCACGAACGGAACGGTCAGGCCCACATGGCTCTCCTACGTCCTAATATCGCGGCGTGCCCCCCCTCTCCAGGCTTTCGGCTGGCCACTCGGCCACTTGGGCAAATTGTATTAAGGGGTTTTACTGGGACGCTCTGGCTCCTCGACGGCAGCATCAATTGGGTGCACTAAAAACAAGGGGCTCCGCTGCAAGGGCCTCCCACAGTGTAGGGGAACCCCCGTCAGCTCGTCCGTCAGCGTTAGGACCTACACCAACAGGCGCGGGTCGGCAAAAAGTCGCCCTTTGCCCCTGTAGGCAGGCAGCTTTAGCGACCCTCCCTGAACGCGTCTCTGGATCCGCCCCCGTACACCAATGAGAGGGGCCTCCCAGTGGAACGAAGTCATTCCTTTTTGCAGTGACTGCCTTCGCCTCGTCGACAGGCTAGACACTCGGCAGGCAGGACACTGTTCCGGTGGGTGAGGCTCTCGCCGAGGCGAGGCACGGCGAGGCACTCGCTGAGGCCGGCGGCGGAACTAGTGCGCGTCGCGTCGCAGCGTCCCTCTTCATTTGTCTAGCCTCGCGCCGAGTCGCCTAGCCTCGCGTCCGCCCGGTGCAAGGTCCCACTAGTCCCACTCCCAGCCTCGGACGGGACAATATGTGCCAAGTCAAGTCGGGAGCGGAAAACGGCGGGGCACGTCAGCCGCACGTGCCTGGCCGGGCCCCTCTAAAACCCCCCTCTAAAACCGCGCGCGTTCGCAAGGCGACAAAACCCGAAAGAAAGTGAGAGTCAAGACAAAGAAAGCGCCTCTAGAATCTTGATTGTTGCTCGTCTGAATAAAACCAGGCGGAAGCGGGGTGCATTCTATTGGCGGGGACTGGGCCGTGACGCAGGGTGCCCCCCCTCTCACTCTCGGGTGCGAGAGAGACAGAACAACATCAGACGTCTGGCTAACCATCCCCCGCGAGCACCGCCAAAAGCAAATAGGTCGAACTGTAGGTAACTTCCAGCCCCGAAGCGCCTTACAGCGGCAGGGTAGGCCGTCCCGTCGCGCAGGGCTGCGTCCGGATTGCCTACCCTCCAGGCGCCATGGCCTTGCTTTGCGGGGAGTGACTGCATCACTGCCGAATCCCACGGTGCTCGGCTTCGGGCTTCGGCAGACTCGGCGCTGTTTTTCTCAAATAACGGAAACAACGGTGGCCGAGATCGTCGGCCTTCCTCCTCCCACTTCCGGCCACTTCCGGGCCGGTCGAGCCGGCGGCGCGCGCGAACCAGGATCGCTCTTTTCTCGCCCGCGAGCCGCTGCTTTGCCTCGAAAAGCACGCGCCAGGTATGCTCGCAGCCATTAAGGAACAGTAGCGTTCCTGCCACGCGCGCACACACACACACACACAACACACACACACACACACACACACACACACACAAAACACACACACACGTGAACGTTCAGCTCAATAACGCACAGAGCAGAATATCGCTTATCAGAGCGGCCACGCGAACCTGCTGGGAGAAAATAATAAAATGCAGCAAAGGATGCTACGAACAGCGATGCTGCTGCTGCTGCTCTCTCTCTCTCTCGCACAGGAAGTTATAGAGAGGTTCCTCTCTCGGTTTCGCCATCGCCGCCCCCGCGTTCGCTCCCCGTTCTCCGCGCTGCTCTGCACCGCGCTCCAGCGACGCAGCGGCTGGAGAGGTTCAAGAGGAGATTAGCATAAAATGCCAAAGTTGATGCCGAGGGCGACCGAGGCGCCAACGAGTTCCATTCCGTGATGACCGAAAGTTGAGCCGCGCCTCGCTGTGCCTCGGCGGCGCCCCGGCTGGATGGCTGGGCGTCTCGGCGAGCGTCTCGGACAACAACTTGAACTTGAACAAAAGCCGCGCGCTCCGCCGCCTGCGCCCTGAGCGCCCTGAGCGCCCCGCGGCCGCCCGCGGCAGTCACGTGAAAACTTGAACCAAAACAAAGAGGCCCAGCGGGGCGGCGGGGCGAGCGGAGGGACTGACTCGCTCACGCGACGCCCGCGACGACGCGCAGACAGGACTCGCTTTCCAGATCCGACCGCCTCGGGCTGCAGGCAGATGCAGAGCACTTACTGTTTCGTTGTCGTCCTGTCCGTCCTTCTCGCCCCCAAGGCGCGTCGCGTGGAGGTGCGGGAGAGACAGAGCGACGATACGGATAAAAGTGTCCGGGAGCGTCGCAGCGCACTCACACGCCTCACCTCATTCCCAGTCCTCACTTCCAGCCTCTCCGTTGCCGGACGCCGACTGATTCCGCTGTCATCGCTCTGTCTCTCTCTGGCACTCATGCGGCGTCCCGCGTGGGTGCGAGAGAGAGGGACAGCCGCGCGGGATCAGTCTGCCTCTGTCCTGCTGCTGCCGGTCGCAATCAAAGTAACGGCCGTGTAATGGGCCATTGCCGCCCAATCGCCCGGCGGGGGAGGGGGAGGGGGGGGATCGCATCGTCGTGACCGCCAAGAAGGAGGGGAAGGGGGAGGGGCAAGCAAAGGCTGCAGGCATCGGAAAGCAGCCTCGCGAAAATCCTTGAACGCCTAAGCGACAGCCCGACAGCCCCAGCCAAGCCCCTCGGGGCCCGAGCGCAAGGAGGGGCCCCCGGCAGCGATTCCAGGAGCGATTCCAGGAGCCACCTGGAGTCCAGTGCAGTGGCTGGAACAAGGCAAACGAGAGCACGACGGCGCAGCACGGCGTCCATTCGTCTGTCTCTCTCGCACCTTTGCGGAGGGCCCCGTGAGTGCGAGAGAGACAGCCTCCAGCAAGCGCGTCCTGCTCTTCCGAGATAACCGTCTGGCCGGCAGCACGGCGTAGGCGCAGCCACCCTCGCAGCACTTTCGCCCTGCTTGTGTGTCTGGGCCGGCAGCCTGGCATCGCTCTGTCTCTCTCGCACTCGCAGTGTGTGCCGCAGGGGTGCGAGAGAGACAGAGCGTGGGCAGTGGCAGCCAGAAAGCGATACTTGTCGCGCGGAGACGGAGAGTGCTTTCGTCACTGATACACCGCTACTCTGGGAGCGGCGCGTGTGCCTCGCGCCTGTCGGCCTGTTCCTTCCGAGAGACAATGGCTTGGGCCACGCCGCCAGACCGCGGGTCGTTCCCGTCGCTCTGCCTCTCTCGCACTCGTGGGGCGTCCCGTGTAGGCGGGAGAGAGACAGAGCGACGAGAACGACTCTCGGAATCAGTCTGCAGGCCTCGCGTGCGCGCGCACCGCTACGCGATACCATACGGCCCACTGCCGTGGGAACAGCGCCGTGCCGCGCCGTGCCGGGACTGCCTTATCGGGTCACTGTGTACAAAAACCGCTAGCACGCCCCGCCCCTCCCCGCCGGCAGACACAACAAAGTCAAGCCGCCCACGTGCAGAAAATTGGCCGCGGCCGTGGAAAGGGGCCGGCAAGGCAAAACCCGACTGCTGAATCCTGCCGCCCGGTTCGGAGCGGGGTTCGTTTCGTCGCTCCGTCTCTCTCGCACCCCGAAGAGACGGCCCGCGAGTGCGACAGGGACAGGGCGAGACGCGCCCGCGGGTCAACGATTGAGTGAGGCCCCCTCAATCGTGGAGCGCTTCCATTACCCAAATAACTACTTTTGGGCGAGGGCCGCGTGCCGCCCGACGGCTTGCATGGCATTGCGACATCGCGGGTAGGGCCCGCCCGCCCGCGGTTTCGAGCCTCTCCGTGCGCCAGCGCGTCAGCCTGGAGGCAGTCACTTTGGGACGCTCTTTTCAGCAACCCGCCACCCACCCGCGTCGACTGTGAGCCAAAGAGAAGGTCACAACAGGAGGACTGAACGACTGTTCGTTCCGCTGGAGCAGAGTCCTCCTGGAACAGAGTCCTCCTGGAGCAGAATCCTCCTGGAACAGAGTCCGGGAGCAGAGTCCTCCTGGAACAGAGCCCTCCTGGAGTCCTCCTGGAGCAGCCCAGCCCCACGGCCGCTGCCCCACAAGGGCGGAACGGGGACTTGCCCAACCGCTGCGTGGCGGCGCGGCGACCTTGCGGTGTGGCGGCGGGGCGTGGCGCGGCGTGGCAAAGTGTCGACGGACTCTGGATTCAATCCATCCTAGCGGCGCAGCGCGCAGCCACGCGGCAACACGCCAGCAACGCGCCCCGTCCCGTCGCCGTCGCGGCGGTTATCGCGTCAGGGTCGGTCCAGTCTGTCCCTCTCGCACTCACGGGGCGTCCCGCAGTGGTGCGAGAGAGACAGAGCCGGTCGGCTGGAGGTAGAGCCCCGCCGGCGCTTTTCGCACGTACACTGGTTCGCGGCGGAGCGGTTACCTGGCGGGCCTGGGCCTGGGCGGGGCCTGCCGCGACTTGTCGATGAATCGAGGTGGCTTGGCGATGTATCGAGGTCAATGCTGCCGCCGTGCCGCCAGGGCAATGTCTCTCGGC